GGAAGATGGGGCAATCTACTTCTGTAGTGATACTGCCTCGGAAACCCAAGGAGGGGTCGCTATGAGTCGGGTCCGACTCGACGGCACATAACGACGACGACAACGGAACTCCTGAGACTTTCCAAGATATGACATTGAAGGTTGTCCAGAAAAGGCAGCAGGGAGGCACTTCCAGGCAGAGAGAAGGAAATGTGCAAAAGCCCTGTGGAAGACATGTGGGGCAGTAGTGAGGGGGAATGTGGGGGAGATGGGCCTGCAGAGGCAGACAGTGGCAGGACCTCCTTTGTAAACCATATAAAACAAGTTCATCTGATGAGCCCTGGAGAGTCAGTGAAGGACTGTTGGCGCTGGGAGTTGGCAATTATGATCACATTTCAGTTTCTCAATGATGGCAGAGGTGGCTATGTGGCATCTGATTCCTGGAGGGTCAGGGTCCAGGGCAGAGAGACTTTGAGCTCCCGACACATCCCTGTTTGCCATATCTGAGTCATACTGAGTTTTCTGTTTCTACACTAACTGCTCTTTTGACTGTTCTTAGTTCTTAGGTTTGCTTTTCATAAGTACCACAACTGGACCAATAAGCAACATCATGATAAATGATGAAAAGACTGAAGTTGTTAAGGATTTTCTTTTACTTGAATCCACAATCACATCTATGGAATCAGCAATCAAGAAAGCAAATGGCATATTGCATTGGGCCAATCTGCTGCAAAAGACCTCTATAAAGTGGTAAAGAACAAAGATGTCACTTTGAAGACTAAGGCACCTGACCCAAGCCATGGTATTTTCAATAACCTCATATGCAAAGAAGATGGAAGGAATACACAGAATCACTGTGTATTCACAGTGTACCAAGAAGAATTGGCTGATATTCATCCATTTCAGGAGGTGGCATAATGGTATTGAAGAAAGAAGTCGAAGCTGCACTGAAGGAATTGGAAATAACAAGGCTCCAGGAATTGATGGAATACCCATTGAGATGTTTCATCAAATAGGTGCTGCACTGGAGGCGCTAACTCGTCTGTGCCAAGAAATTTGGAAGACAGCTACCTGGCCAACTGACTGGAAGAGGTCCATATTTGTACCCATTCCAAAGAAAGGTGATCCCATAGAATGTATAAATTATCAAACAATAAATATCACATGCAAGTAAAATCTTGCTGAAGATAATTGAAAAATGGTTCCAGCAGTATATTGACAGAGAACTTCCAGAAATGCAAGCTGGATTCAGAAGAGGATGTGGAACAAGGGATATCATTGCTGATGTCAGATGTATCTTGGCTGAGAGCGAAGAATACCAGAAAGATGTTTACCTGTGTTTTACTGACAATGCAAACGCATTCAGTTGTGTGGATCATAACAAATTATGGATAACATTGTGAAGAATGGGAATTCCAGAACACTTAATTGTGCTCATGAGGAACCTGTACATAGACCAGGAGGCTGTCATTTGAACAGAACAAGGGGATACTGCATGGCTTAAAATCAAGAAGGGAGTGTGTCAGGCTTGTATCCTTTCACCATACTTATTCAATCTGTATGCTGAGCAAATAATCCAAGAAGCTGGACTATATGAAAAAGAACACAGCATCAAGATTGAAGGAAGACTCATTAACTACCTGTGATATGCAGACAACACAACTTTGCTTGCTGAAAGTGAAGATGACTTGAAGCACTGACTTTTGAAGATCAAAGACTATAGTCTGCAGTATGGATTACACCTCAACATAAAGAAAACAAGAATCCTCACAACTGGACCAAAAATGGAGAGAAGATTGAAGTTGTCAAAGATTCCATATTACTTGGTTCCACAATCAACACCAATGGAAGCAGCAGTCAAGAAGTGTGACAATGTACTGCACTGGGCAAATCTCCTGCAAAAGACCTCTTTAAAGTGCTGAAGAACAAAGATGGTCTCTTTAAGAACTAAAATGTGCCTAACCCAAGCCATGGTGTTTTAAATCACCCCATATGCATGTGAAAACTAGACAATGAATAAGGAAGACCAAAGAAGAGTTGATGCTTTTGAGTTGTGGTTGGTGAAGAGTACTGGAAGTACCATGGACTGCCAGAAGAACTAACAAACCTATCCTGAAAGAAGTGCAGCTGGAATGCTCCTTGGAAGTGAGAATGGCCAGATTTCGTCTCACCTGCTTTGATCATGTTGTAAGCAGGAACCATTCCCTGGACAAGGAGATCATGCTTGGTAAAGTGGAGGTTGAGGGAAAAGGCCC